GCATGCGTGAATGTTCATAAATCTAATTGCTTTTGTTAAGAATAGAGACAAGACCCTGGGCGTTACACATACAAGCATTCTTGGAAATTTCATGTGACAACCAAATTGATTCTCCTTTCTCACTTTATTTATCACATATAGTTACCTTGTATGGCAAAAAATAATTTCAGCATCTTGGATGAGTATATTATATTGTTTAAATTGGAAATTCTACAGAACTAAAGCCCTGTATGAACAAAGGTTTATGTAAATACCTTGCACTGTGAGTCGCCTTGCAAGCATGCCTCCAAGGTTTACTTCTGTTGTTGTTCCACCCATAAAGCCAATAATAAAAAGCCTCCCATCAACATTTAGGATGTCAAGGTTTCGCTGAAAGTAGGGTCCCCCAACATTATCGAGTATAAAATCAACACCTATTGAACATTTTGAAATTAGATTTTCTCAATCTGAATTCATGTGATGAGAAAGGTGTAGTGTATCTTTTTTAAGTGACAAAGAAGCAAAAAAAAAAAAAAATGTTAGAGCAGCTTCCAACTAAAATCAAAACATTAAAGTATAAAATTGTACGCTAGAGAGAATAAACCTTTTCCTCCAGTTTCTTCCTTCACACGAGCAACAAAATCTTCCGTCTTGTAGTTGATGCAGACATCAGCTCCAAGGTCCTTGCAAAAAGCTATTTTTTCCTCATTTCCTGATTAATAAAATTATCAAAAATATATGATTATGAAAAAAATGGAATATGAACTGATTTCCAATATCAAACATGTCTTAAAATAACAAAATAAGATTATGATACTTGACCTGCTGTGATAAATACTTTGGCTCCTTGGTATTTAGCTATCTGAATTGCAAATGTGCCGATTCCACTAGAACCCCCATGTATCTGAAATTTTATGAGTCCTCATTTAATAGTTTCAGAAGGAACATCTTAAGATTTTTACAACAATGGTTATGTTTTATGGAAAGAAGAAAGCAGAAGAGCACCACGATGAGATTCTCAATATAAACAAATAACTTCATTACTCCAACTTAACACGATAGAATATCAATCTGTGGTCCCTTTTGAACAATTTAACATAATTATTATATGTCTTTCATCTTCCTCATTCCCATTTTTTAAAATCAGAAGTGGCAACACAGGATGCGATACACTCAATGAGAATGATCTTATCTTTTCTAGAGTTTCTTAGAAAATACATGGCAGTTGGTGAATTAGATAAACCTGAATTTGAAAATAATGAGATGGTTGAAAAGAATGCAAATTTTTTTTATGTCCCGACATCTATTGCGTTTCAGATGGTCTCAATGGCACTACAATATAAACTTACACAGACCTTATTTAAATATCAACACTGCACTAGTATGAAGTAAAATTCAGTAGTTTCACAAAATTTGCAATTGCAACATTATTAAATGGTAGACAATCATGTTTCTATTAGAAAGAGAATAGGCTCATAAGCTACCAGGAGCGTTTCCCCTGCGGATAGATGACTCATCATGAAGACAGTTGACCAGACAGTGCATGCCACCTCAGGAAAACTAGCAGCATCTTTCAGAGAAATACCAGGTGGAATAGGAAGCACATGTCCAGCAGGAACAGCTACTTTCTCAGCATACCCTCCTCCACTAAGAAGAGCACATACCTGTTCCAACAAATTTTCATATTATTGCACAGTTAACATATATGCTCCAAGAAATTCCTGGAAATAATACGCTAAAAGAACTAGAAGGTCAGAAACAAGTAAAGTAGCATGAAACCTTTGGTAGGCAAAAACAGACTGACCCATAACATTACAAAACAGTAATCAAACAAGCTGGCCAAAGTCATTATGCACTCGACCTTCAGGTCCTTCACTCTCCTAAACCTGTAGCACTCTTTCATAGGTGCATTCAGTTCAAAGCCTCATATCCAGATAATCATCAAATTTCAAATAATACTGTAAGATAGGATATTAAAACCCACCAAATATATATATGCATGTGTATACATATATCTGGATGGAGGGATTCAATGTAAAAAATATTAAAGTTAATAACCTAATATATATTTAATAACATCAACAAGATGAAATCAACATAAAAGCACGACATTTTCTTCTACTAAGTGAAGCACAACTTTCAGCTTATTTAATCAACTACTACCTATATTTTGATTGCAGGGAACTAAATTCGCAACCTGAAAAAACTAAAACTTCTGCCACTCAACTGAAAAAGACAACCATTCCAATTAAAATTCTTCTTAAAGGACGACAACCTTTTTTTCTTCAGATACGAAAAGGCAAAAGGTAACATTAAACACAGACCCAATATCTCATCTTCTTCTTTCCTTTCTCCACAATAAATGTTCACTCACTAGACATAGAGGAAACTACTGTTTATCTGAGTTAATAGCATCAACCCAACTGAACCCAACAAGATCTTGTTCCAATTTTATGGAATAGGCCACGAAAATCCTGTTTGCCACTCCACTAAGTCCAGGCCAAAATTCCAAAATCCATACATATTTTTTTTATATTTTTTTTCCCTGAATAAATTCCATATTAACCACATTAACAATAAAAAAATAAAAAATAAAAAAAGGGGCTCAGCTTCCTCCCGGGTCTGGAGAGGGTTAGATGTATGCAGCCTTACCTCTGCATGCTGCGGAGAGGCTGTTTTCATGATTCAAACCCGCGATCTCCATACTGATCCAAGGCCCACCCCCAACCACATTTACCATAGGTACATGAATTAGAAACATGTCAAAATTCCATTTTTTTTCTCTCTTCCCCTCCAATGTCTTAGCAATCAAATAAAATATAAAATAGCAAACAATAACATTGCATTACATTTTCGCCCAAAATAAATAAATAAACCATAAGAGTTTCAGAGATTCTAATTTTGTTCCAATTTCCACTATACTCAGAGCAACCGAAGACAAACCCAACTATATATATTTGTGTGTGTGTATATATATATATAATTAAGCTACAAATTGTGAGAAAATAAAATTAGGAAATACCTGATCGCCGATTTTCCAACGATTAACATTTTGTCCAACAGCTTCGATTGTTCCTGAACATTCGAGTCCAGGGTACAGACTGGCCCCTTTGGGTGGTGGGTATGAGCCTTTTCGTTGAAGCGTGTCGGCTCTGTTGAGAGCGGTGGCTTCGACTTTGATCAACACTTCGTCTTCTTGAATTTGTGGGTCTTCCACTTCTTGCAGTTGAAGCACTTCGGGGCCGCCGGGACTCGTTATCACTATGGCTTTCATTGTCGCCGGCGATCGGGATGAATTATCCGACAAATGAGTTTATCAGAAGCTTAGACAAGCTCACACGACTCTGGGTTTTCGACTAGAGTGGTGTGTCTATGTACAGTGTATTTGAAGAGGAGTTTGCTAATAGCATGCTTTTGCTTGGTTCGATTTTCGAACAATAATTTTTTATTTTCTAATAAGTGAAAATTTTATCCAAAAATTTAAATAAATAAAAATAATATATTTTATTTTGGTACGTGCTCCTAGAAACAACATGTTTTATTTTGAGTTATAATATATAAAGTCAACTAAATGGTTAACTTCACAAAAAAAGTAAGTGTGAAAATCCAAAACATTCATTTGGTACGTGCTCCCAAAAATTCCATTTCATATGGAGAGATGATATATAAAATCAACAAAACGTTGACTTCACAAAAAGAAATTTTTTTTTTTTTTTTTTCCTTTCTGGAACGGACTCTCATCGACAATAATAGTGTCAAATAAATGATGGTTTCTTTCCACACAAAAAAATAAAAATTTATAATCTTTCAAAAAAAAATAAAAACTTATAATATATTTAACTAACAACTCGAGAAAACTATTTAGTAATAACATTAGGCGGGCATCACATTATCAAAATCTGGACATATTGCATGTAAATGAAGCAATTTAAATCTTGCAGTTTTGGTGTTTGGAATTTTGGTTAAAAGTGGATTAATTCAAAATTTCAATTGTTATGGTATTTAATTCTAGGATTAATTTTATTGACATCTCTTCAGATTTAGTCAAATATCACTCTCAAACATCTTTCAAAAATTAATTATAACTCAATTTTCTGTTACTTTGTCCGTCAAAAAAGTGCAAAATGACAATTTTATCCCTATTTTTCAAATCTATTTTAATACAAAATATCAAAAGCCTGAAATAACCAAATTGCCCTCATTTATTACTCTGTCACCCCCAAAACTCTTCATCTCAATATATATATATATAAAGAATAATTTTTTAAAAAAAAATTCTAAATTTATAATTATAATTTGGTTTTAAAAAATAATTATAATTTGGTTGGTTTTAAAAAATAATTATAAATTTATAATTATAATTTGGTTGTTGTAAATAATGAGATGTATATATATATGTTGTAAAAGTTGATGTGGGGTCCACATATTAAATGTCTTGCACCAATTAGATAAGTTATTTATGTCAGAAGAAAATAAATGTATCTATTTGGCGAGAATTGTGAACAAGTGATAGAGGAAAAGAATAGTAAAGAATATGCATGAATTGTGTTGAGTTCAACAACAAGATGAAATAATAGAAAGCTTGTTTCTCTTCTCGTTCCTTGTCATCTCTTGTGTTTTATATGTTTTGCTCTATATTTGTTTTATATTTACAAATATATATATATAATAATTTTTAATTTATATAATGAAGGTCAAAGGGTATTCAAGTCATTTCAATCCTTTTTTTTTAGGTCAACATACACTTGAAAAGTAACTTTTGGGGTGTAAATGAAAAACGGATCAAACATTTGTAATACAAGTGATAGTTATTTTTGAAAGATGATTCAATGTGATATTTGGCCAAATCTGAGAGGTTGTCAGTGAAATTAACCCTTAATTCTAATTGCAAAATGCAAATAGTTTCATGTTGAAATGCAGCCTTACTGCACAAAAAAAAAACTTATATTAGGGACTTTCAATTGACAAAAAGCAACTTATTAACCATAGTTTCATCACCAGAATATGGTAAACAAACAGTAGGAAAAACAGACTTCGATGGATTACTGCAACGATTTTCTGATAAATATGGGTGCTTTTGTTCTCTGAGGTACAACACTAAAGTATATGAACATTCATTTACAAGACAACACTGGACAGAATACAGAACATGTTCTTGAACACGACATGCTCATCAGAGGAATGAAATCCTTTCATTCACTGAGATTCATCAAATCATGGAAGGAGGAGTATCTTTCCAATATGCTTGCTGCTTTCCAGGATCCGGTGAGCTTCTGCCGCTTCAGATAATGGAAGATATTTATACACTACGGGTTTGACCTTGCCTGCAATGATTGCAGGCCAGACGTTCTTCTCCACCTCACTGACGATCAGAGCTTTGTTTTCTTTGCTTCTAATTCGCAAGCCAGCCCCTGCATACAAATAATTTTGGTTTCATAAAGGACTACACACATGATACAGCATTCAACTTATGTCAATAATTCTCTGCCAGAAGAAAAATAGAAGAAGTTGACTATATCAAAGAGGATGCCAATAATCCAAACAAAGAATCCACTTTTATAGGGAATATTATCCCGTGAGTAATCACTCATATGGCCAAAGGTGGCTAATGTTCATGATTGCCAGTCTATAGAGCAGTGTGAGATCTCATGGAAAAGGAAACAGGAATCTTAAACTAATAAATATATAAATTTGCAAGTTGGGGGTCACAATTGGCAGATGGTCCTGAAAATTCAACAGAAACCTAAAGAGAAATTGCGATGATACAAACACTAAGTGAGTCAGATTTGCCAAAATGATGTAAACAGGTGAGCGATCCAACTTTCCATCATATAATTCAGAATCTTCCCACAAAAAAGCATTCTGATAATGAGAAATGCTACTAGGACCTTCAAAATTACATTTAACTCATCTGTCAGTGAAATCAGGTTTAACAGGAAGCAGATTTTTTTTTTTATAGGCAATAGGAATATCAGACAATTGCTTTTGTTTTACTAATCATAGCCTCTCAAGTTCCTTACAATATATTGCCCTTCTACAAATAACATTGCACATATAGCAAAGCAGCCAACTATCACGATCTTACAATCTAAAGATCTCAAAATTGAATAATGAGCTCTTTCCCTCAACTCTATCTCTAAAGGGGTGTAAGCACTTTACTTGCTAGGGGATGGGATTCATTCATTTGCATCATTGCTAGAACTTCAAAAAGCATTTGTCTTAATGTCCCTAATGCTGCTGTGCAATATCAAGTATCCATTTTACCCACAATGGAGAAGCCACCCCAACCAAGCAGCAGCCACGGGTCATACCTCGTACACGCTCTTCACACAACAAATCCACTTTAAAGTTGACTTACTCTAGTGGCCAATTGTTGCAATTTCTATGGGATACCATAAATCCATAAGGGTTCAATGCTCAATAGTACCTTTCTGTAAAACTTTGAGTGAGGCTTCATATATGAAACACAGCAACAATCTAACTAGAAAGTCATCAAAAAATTTAACAAAGAACCAGCATTCAAAAAGTAACCAGGTTGAAAGTCACTAGAATCAATCTGCATAATTTTTTCACAAGGGATTGTGACATCTTTCTATGGGATTATAAGTCTCTTTTTTAGCTCCTACTTGAGGTGCACAATTTCGTGAAATACATGTAGTGGTTATGACAGAAAAGAAGGAATAGTATGCATTTTTCATTGGGGATTTCCTGAAAAAGAAAAAAATTTGCATCTTCCTCTGTTCTATTTTAAAGATTTTAGTAGTTCAAAATCCAATCTGTCAGATAGAAGTTATAGAGGGTATTTAAGCCCATAGTTACCTTTGGAAATCGGAGGCCAATTTGCAGGATCAGCATAAATCCAACAGATAAAAATAAAATGATGTTGGTCACTAAGTTCTCTGGTGTCAGCATTCTATTATGAAGGTTGTGGCAGTTTTTTACATATCAATAGACTATGATATCTATACATACTACAGACCGACACACATAATACGAGATGTCAGGTTGTGTCCTTACATGCATGAATGTTCATATGGTAATCAAATTGATTCTCCTTTTTCAATTTATTTGTTACATAAATACCTTGTATGGCAAAAATTAATTGCAACACCTTGGATGAGTGTATTATACTATATAAACTGGAAATTCTACAGAAACTAAAACCCCGTACGAACAAAGGTTTCCGTACATACCTTGCACTGTGAGGCGCCTTGCAAGCATACCTGCAAGGTTTGCTTCTGTTACTGTTCCACCCATAAAGCCAATAATAAAAAGCCTCCCATCAACATTTAGGATGTCAAGATTTCGCTGAAAGTAGGGTCCCCCAACATTATCAAGTATAACATCAACACCTATTAACATTTTGAGATTGAAATTTCTCAATCTGAATTAATGTTATAAGGGAAAAGGCGTAGTATATCCTTTCAAGTGATAAAGAGGGGGAAAAAAAGATGTTAGAGCAGCTTCCAAGTAAAATAAAATGAAATTTGGAAGTACAAAATGGTGATGCTAGAGAGAATAAACCTTTTCCCCCTGTTTCTGCCTTAACACGTGCAACAAAATCTTCCGTCTGGTAGTTGATGCAACCATCAGCCCCAAGGTCCTTGCAAAAAGCTAATTTTTCCTCATTTCCTGATTAACAAAATTGTTAAAAATACATGATTATGAAAAAATGGAATGTAAACTAATTTCCAATATCGAACATGTCTTAAAATAACAAAATAAGATTATGATATCTGACCTGCTGTGATAAATACTTTGGCTCCTTGGTATTTAGCCATCTGAATTGCAAATGTACCGATTCCACTAGAACCCCCATGTATCTGAAATTTTATGAGTCCTCATTAATAATTTTAGAAGGATCATCACAAGATTTTTACAACAATGGTTATGTTTTATGGAAAGAAGAAAGCAGAAGAGCACCACAACCTCAATATAACCAAATAATATTTTTAAATCTTTTGTGTTTCAGCTGGTCTCAATGGCAGTACCATATAAACTTACACAGACATTATTTAAAGAGTAATGCTACTATGACGTCAACCTCATGACACTTGTCATGAGCTCTCCTTTGAATTAGTACATTTTGGGAAATAAATAATGCACAAATTACATCATTATATAGCCAATATTAAAGTGTTATCAGTGTGTTAAAAAAAAAAAAAAAAATTCAGCTCAAAATACCATAAAATAAAATTCTACAAGACGGTCAAAGCTGATAGTGTAATTTGGTCAAATGAAGCCAATAGAAAAGGTGTAAAATTTGACTGATTCATGTGGTCTACTGTAGATGAATTTTGGTATGAAATTTGATTGTATAATCCTCATACAATCCTCTTTCAAACGATTAGATGTACGCCTCAATATTTGTACATGATCACAACAAAAGGACAGAGAGCTTATGACAAGTGTCATGAGGTAGACCTCATGGTAGCATTACTCTTATTTAAATACCAACATTGCACTAGTAGGACGTAAAATTCAGTAGTTTCACAATATTTGAAATTTCAACATATTAAATGGTCGACAATCATGTTTCTATTAGAAAGAGAATAGGCTCATAAGCTACCAGGAATGTTTCCCCTGCGGATAGCCGACTCATCATGAAGACAGTTGACCAGACAGTGCATGCCACCTCCGGAAAACTAGCAGCGTCTTTCAAAGATATACCAGGTGGAATAGGAAGCACTTGTTCAGCAGGAACAGCTACTTTCTCAGCATACCCTCCACCACCAAGAAGAGCACATACCTGTTGCAACAAAATTTTCATATGACTGCACAGTTAACAAATATGCTCCAAGCAATTCCTTTTAAAAAGTACACCGAAAGAAATAGAAGGTCAGAAGCAAGTGAAGTTCCTCATTTTCTAATCTATAATCGAAGGATAAATGGATAATCTAACATTGTTTGTTAGTTGCCTCAACTCTATCAGGCTGGCCAGACGGCTGATTCATCGAGAAACTTTTGGTAGGAAGATAGAGATTAACCCATAACATTACAAAAGTGATCAAACAAGGTGGCCAAAGACATTATGCATTCAACATTCACTCTCCTAAACCTATAGAACTCTTTGATAGGTACATTCGGTTCAAAGCATCAAGCCCAAAAAATTATCAAATTTCAAATAATAATGTAAGATAGGATATTAAAACCCACCGTATAAATATATACATATACAATGTGAAAGTTAATACCCAAATATTTGATAACATCAACAAGATGAAATCAACAGATTATATGACAAGCATGCCTTTTCCTTCTACTAAGTGAACCACAACTTTCAGCTCATGCAATCAACTACTACTTTGGTCGCAGAGAACTAAATTCACAACCCGAGAAAACTATACTTGTTTCAGTTTTCTGTTTTCAGATAACTGTTAATCAAGATAACTGAAAATTAGAAAGCTTTACAAAAACTTGTTTGGTTGTAGTTTTATGAAAACTCAGTCATAGAGAGGTTTGTTTTCCTACCAACAATGATCGGACACACTATTGGTATGCATAATGGAAAGGAGCATTTGCCTACTTATATAAGAGGTTGTATGGTACCAAGAGAGTTGTTTTCTATAATTCTCTAAAAACAGTTTTCTGCTTTATGAATTCTTGAGAACTGCTTTAAGACAATGAACCAAGCAGGTCCTAAAACTTCTGCCACTCAACTGACTAAAGGAGGACAATTTTTTCTCTTCAGACACCAAAAGGCAAAAGGTGACATAAACACAGACCCACTATTTCCTTCCTTCTTTCCTTTTTCCACAATAAATCTTCACTTTCAAGACATACAGAAAACTGTCATTTCTCTGAGTTAAAACCATCAACTCAACTAAACCCAACAAAATCTTGTTACATTTATATGAAATAGGCCACAAAGATCCTGTTTTGCCACTCCACAAAGTCCATGGCCAAATTTCCAAAATTCCATTTTAATCACATTAACCATAATAACTACATTAATTAGAAACATGCCAAAATTCCTTCTTCTTTTTTCTCACTCTCTTTCCCTCCGATTTCTTAGCAATCAAACAAAAATATAAAATAGCAAACAATCACATTGCATTACATTTTCGCCCAAAATAGATAAGTAAAACATCTGAATTTCAAATATTCTAATTTTGTCCCAATTTCCACCATACTCAGAGAAACCCAACTAAATTGGGAATTACCTGATCGCCGATTTTCCAACGAGTGACGTTTCTTCCTATCGCTTGGATTGTTCCTGAGCATTCGAGTCCAGGGTACAGACTCGCGCCTTTGGGTGGTGGGTGTGAGCCTTTTCGTTGAAATGTGTCGGCTCTGTTGATACCGCTGGATTCGACTTTGATCAACACGTCGTCTTCTTGAATTTGTGGGTTTTCGACTTCTTGTAATTGAAGCACTTCTGGGCCACCCGTACTCGTTATCACTATGGCTTTCATTATCACCGGCGATCGGTGATGAATTTTTAGACGAATGAGTTTATCAGGAGATTGGATAAGCACAGTGTGCCTGTTTACAATTTTCTTGGAGGGTGAGTGTCGATGTTCAGTGTATTAGAGTCGAGATGGACCAAAAAGAGTTTGAAGAGAGTGAGTTTTGCACTGGTAGAAATATGAAATAATAATAAATAAAAGAGTAATTTTACTTTACTATCCCGATTCTTAACAAATTACACACGTTGACCGCCCTAAAGCCTTGCAGTTGGACAGTAGACTTTTGAGTATGAAAATTGAAAAGTCAATATTGTCGTTGAATACACATATTCAACTCTAAATTTCAAGTAAGGCGAAAGTAATCCGTGTATAATTAATTTAAATTAATAATAGCATTTGGGGTGGAATGGGAAGTAAAATACATTTTTATAAAGTAGAGGAAGAAGAAGAAGATGATTTGGGTGAAACGTGGAGTATTAAATCAATGGTCCCCATCAGTGATATTTCATTGTAGGATCCACATTTGGATAATTCTATAAATAATATCTATGTATTTTTACCTTTCGGTAGTATTTTTTGGTCACTTTTCTCTTTCCCTCACAACAGCTATACGCATTTGTAATATACATGGCTCAAACAAATATTAAAAAAATAAAAAGTAGATAATGAGGTAAATGTACCACACCATTGCAAGTCCTTGAAAAAAAAAAAAAAAAAAAAAATAGAGTAACACATTAGCATTTTTTATCAAAAAAATGTTGATGTGGCATTTTACTTTTATAAAAGTAGATAGAGTATGTATGTGATGCACACCGGATACTCTAAAAGGTCTGTGTGATGTATCTAAAAATATGATGCTCTAAAAGCTCTGTGTGATCTATCTAAAAATATAATCCTGAGGGGTTGGCCCAAGTAAGTCACACCAAAAACTTTTGTCCTTGATAATAAGGTTGGAGTATGCCCAGTCAAACCACAAGGATTGCCCATCATCTTTAAGGCCATCTGCACCAGCCTCTCCGAATTTTGGCTTTCTAAAAATGTCATATCAACTTTTCTAAGAGCCACGTCAGCAATTCCAAAAGCCACGTCAGCAACTTTCGCTCTCCAAAAACATGCACTCCATCAGGCTCTCCGAATTTTCGCTTTAAAAAATATATATATATATATATATATATATATATATATATATATATATTATTTTTAAAAAAAAATTTCCTAACGGCTATATTTTTAACGGTTATATTTGTAACGGCTGTATTTTCTCAACGGCAATATTTTTCAATCAAACAATATTTTTGCAAATTATTAAAAAAAAAGTACGATTGATATTATAATTTAAAACAATGCATTATCCATTATGGATTAAAAAAAAAAAATTAAACAAAATAATTAAAAATAACTTAAATAATACAATATCCTAAATTAGAATAAGAAAATAAATAGACAAAGGATTACAAAATCCTACGGGAACTTTGGGGCGGACCGTGAATTCAAAGATGCCAATATCTCATTTTGTCATGCAATAATCCAAACTTTCCCCGCTTCTGTTGGTGCCGAATTTGGATCTGTTAACATGATCTCATTCTCTTCAAGTCTCTGTTTCTCTAGAATTTCTAGCTGCCTTGTCTTCTCTTTCTCCGTTTTTCTTACCTTTCGTGCCACTTAGGCATCTTGCATTTTCTCCTGACGACTCTCAAAACGGCTATTGATATTATTAAATTTCGAAACGAATGAAATTTGCAATTCATTCGCTAAATTAATTTTTGTTCGGCACTGCTTCGTCGCTTTTCTTCCTGCTGGTCTCTCTAGTTTTTGATATTCTTCCACTCCGGGTGAATCATTTTCCCCTATGTGTGGTGATTCTTCAGTTGGAGCTCCATCTGTCGTGGCCGCATGACTTGACGGAGTAGATGGTAATGAGTGCCCAACAAACTCATTAATGTCAATGTCAAATCCACTCTTCTTCTTCGGCTGTTTTTTCTTTTTTCCTTTTCCTACTTGTTCGGCACAATGTGAATGCCATTTATTGTTATGCTTCAAGATCTCCCAGTAACTTTCTAACTTAAATTCACCACCTGTTTGGCTACGAAACAAGTGTTTAGCTATTATCATCTACACGTAAAAATTAACAAAAAATATTTACGAGTTATATTTAAACAATAAATACCTCACCATATCATCACTGCTGAAGCTACTGGGACGATTCATTTCTATGGTAGTCATGCACCCAGAAAAATTGCTGATTTTTTGTTGGATCACCGACCAATGATTCATCAAATCTCCATCATTTCGTTCAATTGGAACACCAATATGTTATTTATCTTGTTCCAGAATTCGCTCCCATAACTTCTTCTTACTTTGATCTACCCCCGTAATCGCATCAGAGTTAATGGACATCCACGCGCAACATAAAACCTCATCTTCAGCCTTGGTCCAATTATTATGTCGAATAGCCGGTTATTTTGACGAGAGTTTTAAGTTACTTGATTGTGGAACACTAGTACCACAATATTGATGAGAAGTTTGGGATGGTTGATAAGAAGGTTAGGATGGTTGATGAGAAGTTTGTGATAGTTGATAAGAAGGTTGGGATGGTTGATGAGAAGAAAATTGCTAATCTCTTCCATAATAATTGATATTGTCTTCTGGAAATGGCAAAAACTCATCGTTTGATAGGTTGAATTGGGTGTTGTAATAAAATAAATGTCGAGGATCCATGGAATCGAAATAACTTTGAAAATAATAGCTAAGATTGAGGAAATAAAAGAAGAAGTAAGTTGAATGGTAGATAATAGAGATGTGTTAGATGTGATGAGTGATAGTAGGAGTTGGGGTATTTATAGAGATTTTTAAATTTTTAAATTTTTTTTTTTTGGAATAAAGTTAAAAAAATTTGAATTTTTAAAATTATAGCCATTAAGGCACTGTTTGTGTCAGCCAAACAGTGCCTTAACGGGCAAATACACTATTTGTGGTACGTATTTAAAATTTAAAGCAAAATTTTTTTTTAAAAAAAAAAAACCAAATTTTAAAGGAAAAAACACAAAAAAAGGTTTTTTAATTTATTTTTGGCCCAAATAATTTTTTTTTTAGATAAATAATGCCTAAACAATATATTTTTTTATTTAATGAATCTTCCTTTTTTTTTTCAAAAAAAAAAAAAAAAAGCTCTAAATAACCTATTTTTAGGTTTTTTCAAAAAAAAAAATTCTACCAAACAGTGCCTTAAGGCACTGTTCAGTTACTGTGCACAACCATTGGAGGAAAAAACAAAAAAGGGTAATGCAAAACGACGCCGTTTTGCATTAGGAAAAAATTAAAAAATAAAACAGCGATCGCGGGCCGGCTCGCTGAATATTGCTAGCCGGCCCGCGATCACTAGTGGGCCCAGTCTGTTTAGCTAAGCCGCTACGCGGCCTTTAGGCCATCTGTACCGGCCTCTCCAGATTTTGGCTCTCTAAAAATGTCACATCAGCTTTTCTAAGAACCACGTCAGCAATTCTAAGAGCCACGTCAACAACTTTCGCTCTCCAGAAATATGCACTCTATCAAGCTCTTCGAATTTTCACTCTAAAATAATAATAATAATAATAAATTAAAATAAAATAATTTTTTTTATTTTTTTTTTAACTTTTCCTAAACGGCTATATTCGTAACGGCTATATTTTTCATCTTATATAATGAATACTCATTTGCTCATCTGAAAATCTTCACTACATTCATCTCTCTCCATTATAGCAATATACCATCATCCATCTTTTTCAATTTTGAAATTCCAATGGCTTTGTCATCACAAGCTTTTTCTTTGGCAAACTCTAATTCTTCATCTTCCTCGTCATCCTCTTCGGAAGATGATCCTTTTGGGGCGTTGATTCAACAGGATCAAGAAGAATTCTATGAGATTATGAATTCAGTGAGGCCAAAGATAGTTGAGCAAGTATTTCAAGTCCGTAAAAAGAAGCGGTACATTTATCGTGACCGAGAGGGAAGCCACTATCAGCTAATGAAAGACTACTTCGACGAGAATTGCACATATCCACCGGAGTACTTTCATAAGCGATTCAGGATGCGACGAGAACTTTTTCTTCATATCCTTAATGATGTCAAAGCTTATGATGACTACTTTGTCCAAAATAAGGATGCGACTGGTCGTCTGGGGTTGTTTTCTATATAGAAGATGACAACTGCTGTTCGTATACTCGCATATAGTTGTGCAACCGATCACTATGATGAGTATATTAAAATCGGCGAGAGCACTGCCATTAAATGCTTGAAGGCATTTTGTAATGCTATTGTTGCTATGTATGTAGAGGAGTATATGTGCCCACCCAACGAAGCCGACATAGCACGGCTGCTTGAAGAAAGGGAGTAGAGAGGATTTCTAGGTATGCTTGGTTCTATCGATTGTATGCACTAGGAGTGGAAGAATTGCTCAGTGGAGTGGCACAACACACATAAGGGACGATCTGGCAAGAATACTCTCATATTGGAAGCAGTTGCCTCATAAGATTTGTGGATCTGGCATGCATTATTTGGAATGCCGGGTTCACACAATGATATAATGTGTTGAATCATTCCCCGGTATTCAACGGTATCATCAATGGCCAATTACCTCTGGTTAATTATGTAGTGAATGGACATCACTATAGAATGGGGTATTACTTGTCTAATGGTATATACCCTAAGTGGGCAACTTTGATGCAGACCATCCTGTACCCAACCACTAAAGAAAAATTGTTTGCTCAGTGACAAGAAGCATGCAGGAAAGATGTGGAACGAGCTTTTGGGGTATTGCAGATCAAGTGGGCAATAACACGAGGACCAGTGCGTTACTGGGAGAAAGATGACTTGCGCCTCATAATGAAAATGTGCATCATCTTTCACAATATGATCATTGAAGAAGGGCGTTACGCAAATATTGAAAGATGGACTCCACCACCGGAGGATGCAATCCTGATTCCCACTTTAAGTCGATGCCCATCGGTTTTAACGGCACACATATCCTCTCGCCAACTTCAGATTCGCAACAAAAAGACAAATATGCAGTTAAGGAATGATTTGATGAAAAATTTGTGGAACCGCTATGGTGATAAAGATATTTAATTTATGTTGCATTTTGTTTGCTTTTAAGATGTTATGACATTTCGTGTACTAAAATTTTTATTATGTAATGGTTTTTTAAGATTAAAAATAATGAATTGGAATATGAAAATAAGTATTACAAAATCTTATGGGAATAAGTAAATGAATTTGTAATTTTAATTATTTTTTTTTAAAAGTTTTTAAAAAAAATTTATATATATATTTTAAAAAATTATAGCCGTTAAGGCACTATTTATGTCCGCCAAACAGCGCCTTAATAGCCAAATGCATTATTTATGGTACACATTGAAAATTTAAAGCAAAAAAATAAAAACAAATTTTTAGGGGAAAAAAAAAAAAAAGCTTTTTTAATTTATTTTTGGCCCAAATAAAATTTATTTTTGACAAACAGTGCCTAAATAATATATTTTTTATTTAATTAATTTTATTTAATTTTTTATTTTAAAAAAGAGCTCAAAATAACCTGTGTTTAAGTTTTTTTTTTTTAAAAAAAAAAAACTGTCAAACAGTGCCTTTGGCGCACTGTTCCAGGAGCAAGATAATAAAACAAAAAGGTGCAGTGGAAACCGCGTCGTTTTGACGCAAGAAAAACAAAAAAAAAAAAAATTTCAGCGATCGCGGGTTGGCTCGCGGTGGGCCCCAGTCCGTTTAGCTAGGCCGTTGTGCGCCCTAGTCCATTTGTGTTTTAGTTTTTTTTTTTTTTTTTAAAAAATCTGCCAAACAGTGCCTTCGGCGCACTGTTCCAGGAGCAAGACAATAAAACAAAAAGGTGTAGCGGAAACGACATCGTTTTGACGCAAGAAAAACAAAAAAAAAATAAAAATTTCAGCGATTGCGGGTTGGCTCGCAGTGGGCCCCAGTTCTTTTAGCTAGGCCGCTGCGCACCCTAGTCCATCTGTGTTTAAGTTTTTTTTTTTTTTTTTAAAAAAAATCTGCTAAACAGTGCCTTCGGCGCACTGTTCCAGGAGCAAGATAATAAAACAAAAAGGTGCAGCGGAAACGGCGTCGTTTTGACGCAAGAAAAACAAAAAAAAAAAATTCAGTGATCGCGGGCTGGCTCGCGGTGGGGCCCAGTCCGTTTAGCTAGGCCGCTGCGCGCCCTAGTCCATCTGCTCGCGGAAATTGGGCTTCCACAAGCCCGCTACGGTTGGATTTGTCCATCTGCTCGCAGAAATTGGGCTTCCGCAAGCCCGCTGCAGTTGGCCTAAAATGATTCGGGATGAGCTTTAGGATTGATACTCTACTGAGAGAAGCCAGATAGGGGATACCAAGACCCCCCATACTCTTTGGGTCTGCGACTCCAGTGGACTTGAGCTCAGTACCAGTTCATAGAAACCTCCTCAAAATGGAATTTAACCTGTTGAGTGACCTGCAATGGCAATAGGAAATGACTGCTCCAATAGGAGTGCGTGCTGACCAGAATGGACTTGATAAGCTGCAGCCTCCCAGCATCACACAGAAACCTTGTTGTCCAGTAACTCTAGTAGTAATTCTGTCAAAGAAAGTTCTGCAATCATTAGCTACTAATCTAGAAGCAATCAATGGGAGCCCCACGTATTTAATAGGAAGTTGACCAAACTCAAAACCATTAGCATTAATCATTTCATTCTGAGTATCAGCAGTGGCAATTGAAGTGAAAATGAGGCTCTTAGCCATATTAGGAACCACAGTCCAGAGAAAGAAGTGGAGTCATTGACAGCTTTAAGCAAGGTAGCCAAGGAATGGCAGTCACCAGGGCAAAATAACATCAAGTCATCAGCAAAACAATGGTGAGATACCGTATTCTTCTTACAAAAACTAAAATAGAGAGCCAAAGTAGGAAAAACAGAGTTGGATAGATTATTCAAACAATATTCTGATAAAAACGGGTGTTTTTTGTTCTCCAAAGTATTACACTAAAGGTGATGAGCATTCACTTACGAGCCAACACTGGACAGAGCTAATAAAACCTCTTCTTTAACACGACACGCTCATCAGAGGAATGAAATCCTTTCATTCACCGAGATAAATCATCAAATCATGGGAGGAGGAGTATCTTTCCAACATGCTTGCTGCTTTCCATGATCCGGTGAGCCTCTGCTGCTTCAGATAATGGAAGATATTTATACACTACGGGTTTCACCTTGCCTGCAATGATTGCAGGCCAGACGTTCTTCTCCACCTCACTCACGATCAGAGCTGTGTTTTCTTTGCTTCTGTGTTGCAAGCCAGCCGCTGCATACAAATAATTTTGGGTATGATACAACATTCAACTTATGGCAATAATTCTCTGTAAAATAAGTTGACAATACCAAAGAGGGTGTCAATAATTCAAACAAAGAATCCACTTTTCTAGGGAATATTATCCCATGCGTAATCACTTCTATGCCCAAAGGAGGCCAATGTTCATGATTGCTAGTTTGTATAGCAGAATGGTGAGATCATGGAGAAAGAAACTGGAATCTAAAACTAATATATAAATTGCAGTATGTCGGGTGTCACAATTTGCAGATGGTCCTGAAAATTCAACGAAAACCTGAAGTGAAACTGTGATGATACAAACACGAAGTGAGGCAGATTTGCCAAATTCATGTAAAAAGCAAAAAGGTGAGCAATCCAACCCCTCCATCATAACTTTCAGAATCTTCCCACACAAAAGAAAAATATTAAAAAATATATATATGCATTCTGATGATGAGAAATGCTACTAGGAACTTCAAATTTACATTTAACTAACTTGTCAATAAGAAATCAGGTTAACAGGAAGCAGTTTTTTTAAGGCAATAAGAATATCAGACACTTGCTTTTCTTTTAATTATCATATTCTCCTAAGTGCCTTACAATAAATTACCCTTCTACAAATATCATTGTACAGTAGATCTCAAAATTGAAGAAAGAGCTCTCTCCCTCACCTCTATCTCTAAAGGGGTCTAAACACTTCACTTTCTAGGGGATGGGATTCATTCATTTGCATCATTGCCAGCACTTCGAAAAGGCATTGGTCTTGATGTCCCTAATGCTGCTGTGCAGTCTCAAGCATCTAGTTTACCCACAATGGAGAAGCCGCCCCCACCACGCAGCAACCACGGGTCATAATTCATAACACACTCTTCACACAGCAAATCCACTTCAAAGTTGACTTACTCTATTGGCCAATTGTTTCAATTTCTATGGGATACTATAACTCCACTAGGGTTCAGGGTCTCAATAGCACCTTTCTCTACAGCTTTGAATGAGGCTTCATATATGAAACACAGGAACATTCTAACTAGAAAGTCATTCAAATTTTGATCAAAGAACCAGTAACTATTGAAAAAACAGTAGTCAATTACAAAAGTTACCAGCTTGAAAGTCGGTAGAATTGACCTGCATCGATTTTTTCACAAGGGATTGTGATGTCTTTCTATGGGATTGTAAATCTCTTCTTTAGCTCCTACCTGAGGTGCACAATTTTTTTTTTAAATGCGTGTAGTGGTTATGATAGAAAAGAAGGAATGGTATGTATTTTTCATTGGGGATTTCCTGAAAAAAAAAAAAAAAAAAACCGCATCTTACTCTGTTTTTTATTAAAGATTTTTTTGTGGTCCAAATTCAATCCGTAAGATAGAAGTGTTATAGAGGGTATTTATGCCCATTTGGGAATCAGAGGCCACAACCAATATATTGATTTGCAGGATATATAAGAATAAATCCAATAGATTAAAAGACAATGATGTTGGTCACTAAGTTCTCTGGTGTGATGGTATCAACATTTTACTATGAAGGTCGTCGCAGTTTTTACATATCAACAGGCCATGATATCTATACATATTACAGACCAACACACATAATACAAGATGTCAGGTGTGCCCATACATGAATGAATGTTCATAATCTAAGTGAAAACACTCACACCCCTTGAGGTTTTGGTTTATTACACACAGTGGTTAAGATTGGCTTATTGATGTTAAAAAGGCTAACAGGTGTTAAAAATACAGGAAAAGTCATTTATACCCTTCAAATTAGAACCTCACGGGAGGATGGTGTAATAAAGCCCAATGTTAACCACCATGTGTAATAAATCCAAATCTCAGGCAGTGTGAACGTAATTTACCCTAAATCTAACTGCTTTTTTTAAGAATGGCAACAAGACCCTGAGTGTTTACACATAAGAGCATTCTTGAGATTCTGTACATACCTTGCACTGTGAGGCGCCTTGCAAGCATACCTGCAAGGTTTGCTTCTGTTACTATTCCACCCATAAAGCCAATAATAAAAAGCCTCCCATCAACATTTAGGGTGTCAAGGTTTCGCTGAAAGTAGGATCCCCCAACATTATCGAGTATAACATCAACACCTATTGAACATTTTGAGATTAGATTTTCTCAAGCTGAATTAATATGATATGAGAAATGGTTAGTCTATCCTTTTAAGTGATAAAGAGGGGGAAAAAAAGGATGTTAGAGTAGCTTCCAACTGGAAATTTTTTTTTTTAATTAAATATAAAATTCTGATGCAAGAAAGAAAAAACCTTTTCCTCCTGTTTCTTCCTTCACACGAGCAACAAAATCTTCCGTCTTGTAGTTGATGCAGACATCAGCCCCAAGGTCCTTGCAAAAAGCTAATTTTTCCTCATTTCCTGATTAACAAAAGTGTCAAAAATACACAATCATGAAAAAATGGAATCTAAACTAATTTCCAATATGGAACATCATCATCATCATCGTTGCCTTAATCCCATATGAATTGGCTTGGCCACATGAATTCTCCGACTCCAACCCTTTCTATTACATGCCATTTCACTTACCAATGCTAACTTTTTAAGTCATTTTTAATGATCTTATCCCATGTTATTTTCGGTCTCCCTCTCAATCTCTAACATGTATAATAGATAGTCTTCCTCTTTTGACAAGTGCATCTCCAATGTACTCGTATATATCTACTCTCTGTAATTTTCTCACTAATGGTGCCACTCCTAATTTTTCTCTTACACTTTCATTAGTAACCCTCTCACTTCTAGTCACTCCAATCATCCACCTTAGCATTCTTATTTCCGCTACATGAATCTAAACTAATTTCCAATATCGAACATGTCTTAAAATAACAAAATAAGATTATGATACTTGACCTGCTGTGATAAATACTTTGGCTCCTTGGTATTTAGCTATCTGAATTGCAAATGTACCGATTCCACTAGAACCCCCGTGTATCTGAAATTTTATGAGTCCTCATTTAATAGATTCAGAAGAAACATCATAAGACTTTTACAACAATGGTTATGTTTTATTGAAATAATAAAGCAGAAGAGCAACACAATGAGATTCTCAAATAAACAAATAACTTCATTACACCAACTTAATATGATATAATATCAATCTGTGGTCCCCTTTTGAACAATTTAACATAATTATTATTATATGTTTTTCACTTTTTCATCTTCCTCACTCCCATTTTTTAAAATCAGAAGTGGCAACACAGAATGCGATAACTCAATGAGCATGATCTTATCTTTTCTAGAGGTTCTAAGAAAATACATTGCTATCGGTGAATTAGATAAACCTTAATTTAACAATTGTGACATGTTTGAAAAGAATGCAAACTTTCTATGTCCCTAAATATGTTGTGTTTCATCTGGTCTCAATATATATAAACTTACAGAGACATTATTTAAATATTGACACTGCACGAGTAGGAAGTAAAATTCAGTAGTTTCACAATATTTGCAATTGCAGCATATAAAATGGTAGACAATCATATTTCTATTAGAAAGAGAATAGGCTCAGAAGCTACCAGGAATGTTTCCCCTGCGGATAGCCGACTTGTCATGAAGACAGTTGACCAGACAGTGCCTGTCACCTCCGGAAAACTAGCAGCATCTTTCAGAGAAATACCAGGTGGAATCGGAAGCACTTGTCCAGCAGGAACGGCTACTTTCTCGGCGTAACATCCTCCACTAAGAAGAGCACAGACCTGATGCCATAAATTTTCATATTACTGCACGGTTAACACATATGCTCCAGGCAATTCCTGGAAACAATACACTGAAAGAACTAGGTCAGAAGAAAGAAAATTAGCATGAAATGGCATTTCTTGAAATGCCATTTCATGCTCTACTTCCTTATTTTCTAATCTCTTATCAAGGGATAAATGGATATTCTTAAATTGTACAAAATTAGTAAGTTGCTTCAACTCTATCTGGCAATTATTTGTAAATGGATATTTTTCATAGTCCAATTATTTGGAATAGGCAACCAAAATCCTGTTTCGCCACTCCACCAAGTCTAGGACCAAATTTCCAAAATTCCATATATTTTTTCTCCTGAATAAATTCCATATTAACTACACTAACTATAAAAAAAGGGTTCGTCCAGTACAGGAGGCTTCTGCCATTGCGGGTCTAGAGAGGGTCAGATGTACCCAGCCTTGCCTCCGCATACGGAGAGACTGTTTTCATAATTCAAACCTGTGATAGATCACAATGGAGCAACTTTACTATTCTATGGCCTACCTTTTACCACATTTACCATACGTACATGAATTAGAAACATGCCAAAATTCCCTTTCTTTATCTTTTCCCCTCCAATTTCTTAGCAATCAAATAAAATATAAAAATGGCAAACAGTAACAATGCATTACATTTTCGCCCAAAATAAATAAATTAACCATCAGAGTTTCAGATATTCTAATTTTGTTCCAATTTCCAATGTACTCGGAGCAACCGAAGACAATCCCAACTATGTATATATAATATTCAGTTACAAATTCGGAGAAAATAAAATTGGGAATTACCTGATCACCGATTTTCCAACGAGTGACGTTTTTTCCAACAGCTTCGATTGTTCCTGAGCATTCGAGTCCTGGATACAGACTGGCGCCATTGGGTGGTCGGTATAAGCCTTGTCGTTGAAGCGTGTCGGCTCTGTTTAGACCGATGGCTTCGGCTTTGATCAATACTTCGTCTTCTTGAATTTGTGGATCTTCCACTTCTTGTAGTTGAAGCACCTCTGGGCCACCGGGACTCGTTATCACTATGGCTTTCATTGTCGGCGGAGATCGGGAATGAATTTTCGGACGGACGAGTTTATCAGAAGCCTTGGACAAACTCACACGACTGGGAATTTTCTTGTAGAGTGAATGTGTCTATGTACAGAGTATTTGAAGAGTGTGAAGTTGGTGGAAATATTGAAGAAAAGTAAGAGCATGCTGACTGTTGGGTTCAAAACAAACTGTACTAGCCTTTTATTTAAAAAAAAAAAAAAATTGAATGAAGTAAGACTTTGAAATTTATTTATATCTGTATTTTTTTTAATTTTTAAATTTTTTTTTTCCTTCCTTACATTTCATACCAAACACAATTTTTCATCTTTTTCCATTACCCTTCTTTTCATTTCTTTTCCTTTTGTTTCCATTCTACAACCCTATATAAAATTTTGTTAATACCAAACTTGCCATTATTTTTATAAAAAACAAATTTTATAGAAATGCTATGGTAGTAAAAAAAATTTAAATAATTTTCTTTTTTCACAGAATACTATCATTTTCTTTCTTTTCCCTCACAACTAATGGAGTCATTTCTTTTACTTTTCACGATATATTGAAAAAACAAACAAACAAGTTTGTCTTCAAATAGTTGTTATTTATAGTTTCTAAAATATATATATATATATATATATATATATATATATATATATATATATTTTCTTCATTTTAATAATTATTTTTAAAAAACTGAACCAAACATCCCATCATTATATAACATTTCACTTTACACTTGAAAATTAATCAATAGAACTCAATTTGAGGACTAGGAATTAGAAGCGACAATAATCTCACTGGTTTGATTTTAGGCGGTCCAATTAGTTTGGTTGGATTTTAATTTTTGTAAAACCATTACAGATCAATTTGATTGGATTTATCTTCTAAATAGTAAGTTGAAATGTATTTATTTCAACCAATAAAAATTAATCGAGATGATACAATCTCTCTCTTTAAAAGTAGGTGAGTTCTGCGAGTGCCAAAATTTTTGTCTACACTTCGCAAATATTCATGCAACTACTTTCCAAAATTATTTAAGATAAAATATATATATATATATCTTGTATTAAAACATGATAATTCAGGTCATAATTAGGGTCACCAATCACCATGTAACACAGTCAACATGTTTACTATAATATATATTGAACCGACTAACCACACAAAAGAAAATTGTTCAGTAAGAACATTAGGAGGGTATAAATATAACATTATCAAAATCTGGACATACTACATGCAAATCAAGTAACTGAAATTTTGCAGATTTGGTGTTTTGAATTTAGGTCATGAAATTAAAGTTGGATTAATTAAAAATTTAAACTATTATGGTATTTAATTCTAATTGCAAAGTGCAAATAGTTTTGTGTTGCAAGTGCATCCTTACTGCACATAAATCAGAGTTACATTAGGGACTTTCAATTGACAAAAAGCAACTTATTAACCATAGTTTCATTTTCATTTCATAACCAGAATGTAGTAGACAAACAGTAGGAAAAACAGGGATCCAGATATTTATTCAAACAATATTCTGATAAAAACCGGTGCTTTTCGTTCTCTGGACAGAGAATAGAACCCGTTCTTGAACAGGGCATGCTCATCTGAAGAATGAAATCCTTTCATTCGCCGAGATAAATCATCAAATCATGGGAGGAGGAGTATCTTTCCAACATGTTTGCTGCTTTCCATGATCCGGTGAGCCTCTGCTGCTTCAGATAACGGAAGATATTTATACACTACGGGTTTCACCTTGCCTGCAATGATTGCAGGCCAGACATTCTTCTCCACCTCACCAACGATCAGAGCTTTGTTTTCTTTGCTTCTGTTTCGCAAGCCAGCCGCTGCATACAAATAACTTCGGTTTGATACACAACTACACACAAGATGCAAGATTCAACGTATGGCAATAATACTCTGCCAGAGAAAAATAAAAGTTGACAATACCAAAGAGGATGTCAATAATCCAAACAAAGAATCCACTTTTCTGCGTAATCCCTCGTATGGCCAAAGGAGGCTAATATGTTCATGATTGCCAGTTTTTATAGCAGAACGGTGAGATCTCATGAAAAAAGAAAATGCAGTCTTACACTAAAAAATATATAAATTGCATGTTGGGGGTCACAATTTGTGGATGGTCCTGAAAATTCAACAAAAACCTGAGGAGAAACTGTGATGATACGAACACAAAGTGAGGCAGATTTTCCAAAAAAATGATGTAAAAGGGTGAGCAATCCAACCCTCCATAATAACTCTCAGAATCTTCCCAAAAAAAAAAAAGCAGCATTCTTATGAATGAGAAATGCTACTAGGACCTTCAAATTTACATTTAACTCATTTGTCAATAAGAAATCATGTTTAACAGGAAGCAGTTTTCCTTTTTAGTTATCAGACGCTTGCTTTTCTTTTAATTATCATATTCTTCCGACTGCCTCACAATATATTACCCTTCTACAAATATCATTACCTTGTTAATAGAGAGAGGGGCGCCATCTTACGAATATAATAGAAAGTATATGGGGTTCTATCATGATCTTATAATCTAAAGATCTCAAAAGCGAAGAATGAGCTCTTTCCCTCAACTCTATCTCTAAAGGGGTCTAAACACTATCACTTTCTAGGGGATGGGATTCATTCATATGCATCATTGCCAGCACTTCAAAAAGGCATTGGTCTTAATGTCCCTAATGCTGCTGTGCAATATCAAGCATCCAGTTTACCCACAATGGAGAAGCCGCCTCCACCAAGCAGTCATCATGGGACATAACTCGTAACACACTCTTCACACAATAAATCCACTTTAAAGTCGACTTACTCTATTGGCCAATTGTTTGATTTTCTATGGGATACCATAACTCCATAAGGGTTCAATGTCTCAATAGCTCCCTTCTCTAAAGCTTTGAATGAGGCTTTACATATGAAACAGAGGAACAATCTAACTAGAAAGTCATTCAAAATTGATCAAAGGACCAGAATTTATTGAAAAAGCAGTAGTCGATTAGAAAAGTAACCAGCTTGAAAGTTCCTAAATTGATCTGCATCTTTTTTTTTTTTCGGCAAAGGATTGTGATGTCTTTCTATGGAATTGTAAGTCTCTTTTGTAGCTCCTACTTGAGGTGCACAATTTTGTTAAATGCATGTAGTGGTGATGATAGAAAAGAAAGGAATGGTATGTATTTTTCGTTGGGATTTCCTGAAAAGGAAAAAAAAAAATTGCATCTTCCTCTGTTCTTTATAAAAGATTTTTGTAGTCCAAAACTCAATCCATCAGATAGAAGCTATAGAGGGTACTTATGCCCATTGTTACCTTTGGAAATCAGAGGCCACGGCCTATATATTGATTTGCAGGATAAGCATAAATCCAACAGATTAAAATACAAAGATGTTGGTCACTAAGTTCTCTGGTGTCAACATTCTACTATGAAGGTTGTGGCAGTTTTTACTATCAACAGGCTATGATATCATCGACATATTACAGACCAACACACATAACACAAGATGTCAGTTTGTGCACAAACATGCAAGAAGGTTCATAAATCTAATTGCTTTTTTTAAGAATAGCGACAGGGCCCTGGTTATTTACACATAAAAGCATTCTTGAAATTTTCACATGATAACCAAATTTTTTCTTCTTTTTTATTTATTTGTCACATGTAGTCACCTTGTATGGCAAAAATTAATTGCAACACCTTGGATGAGTGTATTATAAACTACAACCCTATATGAACAAGGTTTCCGTACAAACCTTGCACTGTGAGGCGCCTTGCAAGCATGCCTGCAAGGCTTGCTTCTGTTACTGTTCCACCCATAAAGCCAATAATAAAAAGCCTCCCATCAACATTTAGGATGTCAAGGTTTCGCTGAAAGTAGGGCCCCCCAATATTATCAAGTATAACATCAACACCTATTGAACATTTTGAAAATATGATAAGAGAAAAGGTGTAGTCTATCGTTGTAAGTGATAAAGAAGATAAAGAAAAGATGTTAGAGCAGCTTCCAACTAAAATCAAAACATAAAAGTATAAATTGTGATGCTAGAGAGAATAAACCTTTTCCTCCTGTTTCTTCCTTCACACGAGCAACAAAATCTTCCGTCTTGTAGTTGATGCAAACATCAGCCCCAAGGTTCTTGCAAAAAGCTAATTTTTCCTCATTTCCTGATTAACAAAATTGTCAAAAATACATGATGATGGATATCAAGATGAGATTTGCACACATGAGTAGCATGTGTTTTAGCGTTTCCTTCGGAGAAGATCAAAAGAAAAATTAGGATTTTTTGAATATTAGGGTTACATAATTCTGTTTCTTGCTATTTTTAGAAAAATTGGATTTTAGGGCTATTTTGGTATTTATAAATTTTTTTAGGGTTTCTTAGGGCTTGCTTAGCGTTGTGCCTCTATAAAGGCTCATATGTAATCAGACATTTTCAGCTTTGGATTATTGAATCATCATCAAGAGTTTGTGAACTCCGTGTCTCCATTACTGCCCTTGCTTTCTCAATCCCTCAGTCTCTCTAGCCTATCAGCTCCTTCACTCTGTTTTCTCACCCCCTTCATCGGTCTTCTCACCTTCCTTCTTCTAGTCTAGTCTCATCTTCTCTTCTCATTCTCATTCTCATTCTCATCCTCTTCTTTCTTTCTGGTTCTAAATCAAAGTTACAACAAGCCTATCCATCCTGCATCAACTTGATATCAGAGAGTTTTGGTTCTTCTGGTTTGTCATCAAATGATTAAGAAAAAATGGAATTTCCAATATCGAACATGTCTTAAAATAATAAAATGAGATTATGATACTTGACCTGCTGTGATAAATACTTTGGCTCCTTGGCTTTTAGCTATCTGAATTGCAAATGTACCAATTCCACTAGAACCCCCATGTATCTGAAATTTTATGAGTCCTCATTTAATAGTTTCAGAAGGAACATCCTAATATTTTTACAACAATGGATATGTTTTATGGAAAGAAGAAAGCAGAAGAGCACAACAATGAGATTCTCAATATAAAAAAATAAATTCGTTACACCAACTTAACATGATATAATATCAATTTGTGGTCCCATTTTGAAATTTTAATACAATTATTATATGTTTTTCATCTTCCTAACTCCCATTTTTAAAAATCAGAAGAGGCAACACAGGATGCGATAAACTCAATGAGCATGACCTTACCTTTTCTAGAGGTTCTAAGAAAATAAATGGCTGTTTGTGAATTAGATGAACCTTAATTTGACAATTGTGACATGTTTGAAAAGAATGCAAACTTTTTTATGTCCCTACATCTGTTGTGTTTCAGCTGGTCTCGGTGGCACTACAATATAAACCTACACAGACATTATTTAAATATCAACACTGCACTAGTAGGAAGTAAAATTAAGTAGTTTCACAATATTTGCAATTGCTGCATATTAAATGGTCAACAATCATGTTTCTATTAGAAAGAGAATAGGCTTATAAGGTACCAGGAATGCTTCCCCTGCGGTTAGCCGACTCATCATGAAGACAGTTGACCAGACAGTGCATGCCACCTCAGGAAAACTAGCAGCGTCTTTCAGAGATACACCGGGTGGAATAGGAAGCACTTGTCCAGCAGGAACAGCTACTTTCTCGGCATACCCTCCTCCACTAAGAAGAGCGCATACCTATTGCAACAAATTTTCATATTACAGCACAGTTAGCACATATGCTCCAAGCCCTTGAAATAATACACTGAAAGAATAAGAAGATCTGAAGAAAGTAAATTAGCATCCACTTCCTCATTTTCTGATCTCTTATCGAGGGATAAATGGATATTCTAACATTGTCAAAATTTTGTATGTTGCCTCAACTCGATCAGGCAGCCTGATTCATCAAGAAACCTTTGGCAGGCAAAAATAGATTGACCCATAACATTACAAAACAGTAATCAAACAAGCTGGCCAAAGTCATTATGCATGCGACCTTCATTTCCTTCACTATCCTAGACCTGTAGAACTCTTTGATAGTAGGTACATTCTGTTCAAACCCTCAAGCCCAGATAATTATCAAATTTCAATAATACTGGACGATAGGATATTAAAAACCCACCATATATATATATATATATATGAGTAACTCAATGTGAAAAATATGAAAGTTAATACCCTAATATTTAATAACATCAATGAGATGAAATCAACATCAAATATGACAAGGATATCATTTTCTTCTACCAAGTGAACCACAACTTTCAGGTTATGAAATCAACTACTATTTTGGTTGCAGGGAACTAAATTCACAACCCGAAAAAACTAAAACTTCTGCCACTCAACTGAAACAGACAACTATTTTACTTACTTATGGAAAAGAAAAAAAAAACAGAACACTATTTTACTTAAGAGTGCTTAAAGCAGGACAACCTTTTTCTCTTACAACCAAAAGGAAAAAGGTAACATAAAACACAGACCCAATATTTCTTTTTCTTCTTTTGTTTCTCCACAATAAGTGTTCACTTACAAGATATAGAGGAAACTATTCTTTATCTGAGTTAAAAACATCAATTCAAACTTAACCCAACAAACTCTTGTTCCAATTATATTGGAATAGGCCACAAAAATCCTGTTTTGCCATTCCACCAAGTCCATGTCCAAATTTCAAAAATTCCATGTTAACCACACTAACCCTAACTACATGAATTAGCTTTCCCCTCCAATTTCTTAGCAATCAAACAATAATATTGCACTACGTTATATTTTCGCCCAAATAAATAAATAAAGCATCAAAGTTTCACATACATACATACATACATACATATATATATATATATGATTCACTTACAAATTTTGGGAAAATAAAATTGGGAATTACCTGATCGCCGACTTTCCAGCGAGTGACGTTTGTTCCAATAGCTTGGATTGTTCCGGAGCATTCGAGTCCAGGGTACAGACTGGCGCCTTTGGGTGGTGGGTGTCCGCCTTCTCGTTGAAGCGTGTCGGCTCTGCTGATAGCGGTGGCTTCCACTTTGATCAACACTTGGTCTTCTTCAATTTCTGGATCTTCGACTTCTTGTAGTTGAAGCACTTCTGGGCCACCGGGACTCGTTATCACTATGGCTTTCATCTTCGCTGGCGATCGGAGATGAATTTTCCGACGACTGAGTTTATCAGAAGTTAGTCTACACTAGTTGGTAGAATGCTAGCTCATAAAGGGTGTCTTCGTTCAGTGTTTCACGATTCTGCAATAATTATTATATAAATAAGTTAAATTCTCTATTTAATAGTGTTATAATGTTTTATGTAATACATGAAACAAACACCTTGTGGTGTTTTCAAATAAACAAATGGGTGTGTGGGACTAATTGATACTGAGATTAAAATTTAATTCAAAATTTTAATTAAATTTTGAATATTTTAATCCAAGTTGCACCATGATAGGAGCTAAAACTTTTTCAGAAAGATGAAGACTCACAACTCCCATTAATTTCCGAGTCCTTTTTAGCCACACAATTCAATCAAACTCGAAAATCAAATTCAAACTGAGTTCACTACTAAAATTTGATTTCAGCTCGAACTCACTCATCAGCTCTAGCAAACCGAGCTTTGCCTGCTCAAATTCAAACTCGATTTACTACTCAAATTTGATTCAGCTCGCATCGAATTAAGCTTTTGGCTGTTCAAACTCGAAAATCAAATTCAAACTCGGTTTATTACTCAAATTTGATTTCACCTCGTTTATCAAATTTTCGAACTTCAATTTGAGGTTATACTGAAGGAGTCAAGATTGGCAAGTATAATTTATAGAAAAGAGAAGCATCATATTAGCTTGCAAACTTTACACTGTACATACAATCCTCTCTCTCTCTCTCTAAACATCAAAATTGGGTCTCTCTCTACAGATATAGATGAGCTGCTTCATCTGGAGCCTTGAGAGTGAGCACCTAAAGAGAAGATAGAAGCGAATGAGTGGGCCAGCACCAGTACAATCGCTTGCTTCACCTGACCTCGCCTCGGGATCGGACGGCCAGAAGCGATCCTCCTCGAGAAATTTCCACCGTTGATCATCATCTCTCTCCTCACGTATTCCATCTCTTTAACAGAAAACTCTTCTTCTTCTTCTTCTTCTTGGGTGGGTTGCGTTTGAACTTTGGAGGCTTTGAAAAGTGAGTGGTGTTGTGCAGAAAATGGTGGGTTATGGTAGTGTGTATTTAAAGGACATTGCGTACAAAAGTGCCCCTGATTTTGCTGATAATAACTTTTCGAGGTGTAGAATATAGTTATGTATGGTCATGACACTTTTGTTTTACGATCTTGACCTTCTTGTGTCACATTACATTCCCGTTTAATTTTTATTTGACGAAAGTTGTGTTCACATTATGGTAAGAGAGATGTGATGGGGAATCACAGGTCATCTCCTTTGCTTTTGAACCTTCTTCACATGCTAGGACTTGAATTTTTAAACATCTCAGAATCAATTTATTTACAGCTTGAGTAAGTAAGTTGAGTGTTGTTGAGGATGGATTCTACGCGATTCGGGTCTGATCCGACTTTCTGAACAAAGAAAAAAAAAAGTGATTCTACAAATAACTGTGTTATGTTATCAGTGGAGTAGGCTCCGTCAGTGTGTGAAGTAATCTCTATGGAGAAATCAAGAAATTGAGTTAGGATTTATTGAATACCTCCAAACGTAGATTAGCCCCCTTTATTTATAAGGCTTAAGTCAGGATGTCATGTAGAGTTACCGCTATCTTCATCCTTATCGTAATCTGTAAGCTTAATCCTTACTGTAATTAGAGCCTATCTCAATCTTTATGAGATAGCGCGTTAATTTAACACCCTTCCCTTATCCACAAGTATTTAATTTATATATCCATCAAGGGTGAAGCTCCATATTTGAGTTCCCTTAGTAAATGATCCAATTCTGAAGTTTGTGTAGGTTTATAAAATTTCATGAGCAAAATTAAGATTGTGTATATTGATATATGGTAATGAGTTAAAGTAAAAGTGTGAGATAAATGTTTTATAGGACAAGGTACATTAAAAGTAACACTCTTTGTAAATTTTTAGTGACTTACCCGAAGACTAGTGTTCGGATCTCACTAGTATCCTACACAAATTGGCTAACGATTGGTTTCATAAATTTTTATATGACTATAATCAATAATATATATATATATATATATATATATATAGTTATATATTTAGTTTAAAATAATTTTATATTAATTATAAGTTCGATTCTCCTAACATAAAATGCTAGCTCCGCCCAGTATTAGTTTACACAAATTCATGAGTTGTTACATATATTCATGAACACATCAAGCTGAACTCAAACTTTTCAAATTAACAACACGTATATTTCTAGCCTTTTCACAAGGGTATCTATGTCTTTTCAGGGAACATATGGTTTTGGACAAGATAGATAAGATGAGACTCTTGCAGAGTTATGCTCAACTAAAATTCTGATTAAATAATAATAGTAGTAGTATTTTAATGGGTGTCTATGTCATTCACATAAAAAAGATAAATCACGTGGTGTTTATGTTGATTCCCACTAATAAAAGGGGGTCATGATAGACATTGCCCAGGCGGCTTTATAATTTTATAATTCCAATTCAATGAATATCTATGTATCTATCTATCTATCCTTTTCCGCTTTTAATCAATGTGCAATGTGAGCGAGTTAGTGGACAAAATTACTGAATTACGTTGTTTTTTTTTTTTTTTTTTTTTTTTTTCTACCATGTACAAATATCCAATACAATGAATATCTATGTATCTATCTATCGTTTTTCACTTTTAATCAATGTACAATGTATCGTGGGATTGTTCTCATTAATTTATAGTTACAATAATTAATAAATTGTTGGTTCTATCTATCTTGATATTGTTGTATTATAAAATTGGCAAATCCAATTCGATGCACGATTTGGAGAATCTTGTGTCTGCTCATAAATGAACATTGATGTTTCTATTTATTGTACATCTGTAATTTGTTTTTTTTTTTTTTTTCTTTTGGTGGAAATATGATATTGCTACTTTAATTTTGAAAAGAAAAAATAAAAAAGTAGGCTGTGACTCTGTCATATTATTAAACATATATATATATATATATATATATAAAAGTTAAAGCTAATATAAACGCACAACACGATTTTATTAGCCTTGAATGCTCAATCTCCCTCATATTTTAAAGTAGTGGTGATAAATTCGCTATCACGACTCAAAAATATGAGACTATTCACATTAGAATCGTATCAACTAATTTAATTTATTATTATTTTAACTTAATTACTATCGATGGATTTTGGATCGTGTTTATTCAATAATTTTAATCCAATTATTCTTACATTTATTTATTTAGCCATTCATTGTGTGTGTACTTAAATTAATACATGAATTACATAGCATATATAATTTAAATGAATTAAATAAATAATTAAACGGATTGGATTAATAATTGTGTGTGTGTGTGTTTTTAATGAACGATTATGAAATAGGAGACAAAAGCAAAAACAAAGAGCCAGACTAGTAGTGGAAAAGAGGAGCATCATATTAACTTGCAAACTTTACAGTGTACATACAAATACAATCCACTCGCTTTCTCTCTCTAAATTATGAATCAAAATTGGGTTTCTCTCTCTACATATATAGAATGGCTGCTTCAGCTGGAGCCTTGAGAACGAGCAGAACCCAAAGAGAAGATAGAAGCAAAAGAGTGTGCCAGCCCCACCACTATCGCTTCCTTCACCTGACCTCTCCTTGGGATCGGACGGCCAGAAGCTATCCTCCTCGAGAAATTTCCACCGTTGATCATCATCTCTTTCCTCATATATTCCATTTTTAATCGATATCTAAAATAGAAGCCCCTCTTCTTCTTAGTAGTCTGTGATGGTGTTTGTGTTTTGAGTATGAGACTGAGAATGGTGGGTATGTTAGTTATTTAAAGGACATTGTTTACATAAATGACCCTGTTTTTGCTGATAATTACTTTTCTATTATGATTATTCATGACTCTTCTTGGTTTGACCATCTTGTGTTCACATTACTTTTAATTTTATTTAATCAATAAATATTTTTTAAATTTTCTGTTTCATTTTTTAATAAGAATTTTTTTTTTTTAACACTATTTTTATTAGATGATGTAATGAGAATTACACACGTATCTGATTTGCTTTTGGAACGAGTCTCCAAAGTCACCACATGCTTAGACTTCAATTTTAGGAAATTTTTTGTTTTTTTCTTGAAACAATTGGGAAGAAGAAATTCAGGTTAGTTTTGTAGGAATATATTAAATTTTTTAGATGATAAATACCCCCTCATACATTCACAGACTTAATTATAGAATTCGAATCATGCTATTTTTTTTTTTTTTTTTTTGGAGGATATGTTAAACTCAGTATTAGCTCATATAAATTCAAAAGCTAAATAGAAAGCGTTTTTATAGAGGAGATCAAATTGAGTCCAAACACAAATATAATATTAAAATTAATTTTTTTATTAAATGAGTTGAGCCAAACTCAAACTTTTTGAATACTAAATACTTAAGTTTGAACTCGTCTTTTTGAATCGTCTTAATCTCAACCTGAACCCAGTCACACTAAAACTAATATACGATCAGCTTGATTCATTTACAGCCTAATAGTTGACAATCTATATAAAATCAACCGTCATAAACATTGAATTAGAATAAAAAGTATATAAAATTAATGATAAATCTCAAGAAAATAACCCAGTAAATATGACTCCTACCTCACATCTTAGGACAAGTGGACAGCCCACAAAGTAAGAAAAACAAATTAATGCTACCTTCTTGCCAAAAAATTATGTTTCCGTGATAAACATATAATGTTTAATAAAGGACTCATTATATATATATATATATATATATATATATATATATATATAGTGATGTTCAATTGCTCGCTGAGAGCATAGAGTAATATACTCACTTTTAATTTTAACCTTAGAATCTAATCCTACAGTAATTAATTAGTCAGTATTTTTTATATTTAAGGCAATTGCTTCTTTTTTTAGATAACAAATCTATATTATTAATAGGAAATGACAAAACTATACAAGTTTTTAATGAAAACAAATTAAATCAAAATTGGTTAGGATTTTATTTTATATATTTTATACGAATTCTTCCTATCCGAATTCTCAAACCATACCAATTAAAAAAATAAAATAATAAAATAAAATAGGGTTTAGGGTTTAGGGTTTTAGGATTTAGGGTTCTTCCTGTCCGAATTCTCAAAGCATACCAATTAAAAATAAAAAAATTTATATATATATATATATATATATGAAGTTAAATGCTTTGAATTTTAACTTGGAAATAATTTTTTAAAATAAATAAGGGTATTACAAAAACTTTTTCACAAGGATATGTTTGTCTTTTAATGTTATTGCAAGAGTTGTACTACACCAATAATGCTACATTAAGTTATTTAATTTGTGTCATGTCACATAAAAGAATCACGTGGCATTTCTGTTCATTCCCACTAATAAAAGGAGCCAATAATCAAGGTTGCTTTTTGTTATTTTTCTAATTTCACAGTGCATGTTCAATGTACCATATGATTGTTCTCATATGTCTATAATAAGTCCAGTCAATATAATTGAAATAAAATCAAGTACAATATTTTGGCTGTTGAAGAAGACTTTAAAGTGACTGCTTGTGCATTGTTTGGTGCGTAAAGGCCAAAGTTCACAAAAGTTTTGGTGATACTGACAATAAAGACTTGAAAATATTGACTGTGCTTGACGATCTTGACCTTGTTGCGTTCACATTATATTTTCAATTTGTTTTATTTGATCACATAAAAAGTAAAATAAAACAAAAGCTGTGTTCACATCCAAATATGGAAACTTTGAAGATGTCAACTAGTTCCAATTCATTCCATGCTTCTAGGTTGGATTTATTTATTTATTTATTTTTATTTTTATTTTTTTTATCCGGATATGATGTTAAATAAGTTCTCTTTTATTACATTTCTCTCACTCAAACTTGTGACTCAAACCATCTTGTCTACTTGGGATATAGATTCGAACGTTTGACGTGACACTAAATTAAGAATTGGGTCTGAACTGTAACAGGGTGAGTGCTTCGCAATCCGATTCAAAAATTTAAACTATCAGGCAGAATTAACATCTAACTTATATATA